GGAATGTGATAATTTGATAATATATTTCAGTTTATGATGCGATAGGTTAATGTCGTTTATTTTTTGTCTTGAGAGTTGTTTTCAAGGGAGCAGACAAATGTAGATTTATGTTTATAAACCGATACTTTATTTATAAATACATTCAGACAAAAAGCTAAACTAATTAAAGCTCAATTAGCTCAAATAAATTAAAATCTGTAGCTTACTGAACAAATCTAATTTCAAATTTGAGATCGCTATAACGGAATCAATTAAGATGAAATGCTTGTATAAATGCAACAAAAAATTTGTTCTCCATTGTAATTTATAATTTAATAAAAGACATCCAATGATTAGAAATCCATCCAATCTTTCGAAATAAACATAAAAAATTATGTATATTATTCCGTAACCTGAAACTCTATAAAAAAAAATTAAAATTCAGCCCGAATTTCGAATAACACTTCCTTCATGTTCGACAGAAAAAGGATTTTACATCCTACGGAAAATTTTACCTTCGCAATTCTCTTAATACTATTTTTTTTTTCATTTCAATCATTGATATATTCCCTATTGAATCTAGTTATCAAGTTTTTAGGTTGTATTTTTTTAACTTTTACAAAGTTCAAGTTTTAAAAATACTTATAACGACCCTAAAATTTTAAATTTAGCATTTCTATGAAAAATAAGAAACAAATATTCAAAATATTAATTAGTTACTGAATAAATAAATTCCGGTGATATGAAGATTAAAAGATTATTTCTTCCGAATGAAATTCCGAAGATTAAAATGAGCTAAGAAGTTAAATCCCTTTTCCATTTGAAGGGGACCAAAATTACAAATTTAAATATTTAAACAAAATAACTTTTTTTGACAAAAAAATTATTTTTTTTTATGAATAAAAAAAAATATTTTAAGTTTGCTTACAAGCTACTTAAATCAAAAATCCATTAATGTTGAGAACGTCAAATAAAAATAAAATTCTTGAGGAGGAGTCAAATTTAAATATTGTCTTTTCAAGACAAGAAGCTACAAGATTGATTGCTTTTAAATGGGTGGGTGGGTCAGAACTGATAGCTGTCTATATCCTTTGTTTAAAGGTGTAAACTAAAATGTTATTTCTTCAATTTTATGAATAGCAAACTAGAGAGGGAAGTTTGTTTGGAATATATATTAATAATCGTTCTTTTTTTTATTTCGTCATTTTATTAAGCATATACAACTTTTTATACAATGTTATTTCATTGTCGTTCGCTTGTTTAACATCATTTTAGAAAATTAATGGAAAAACTTGCATCTTGGAATATTTTTATTTGATTGTTGCTTCTTCAGTTTTCAAACAATCAATCATATTTTTTTCTCTCTTGTTTTGTATTTCAATCTGCTATTTGGTACAGATCAGTCACGTGATTTATTCTCGCCGTCTCGTAACCTAACAAATAGTAATTTTCCTCGTATTTTAAACATATTTGCGCCCCGCAGTGGACTGATCGTTAAGACAACGTTCACAGCAGATCACCGAAGTCAAGCATCACTGTCTGCGGTCAGTGTGCGGGTCGGTAACCACTTGGATGAGTCTGCGTAGGAGCCGAAGGTGTGCGGTATTGTTCCTCGTTAAACTGTTCTACTTCGCGTGCAGGTCGTCGGGCTACCGAAGAAGGGGTGCCATCCCCTCTGCAGAAGATGAAAATTGAGATGGCATGTATTCGGATCATCCTCAGGGATGTTTCCCAGACCGTCGCCAATAGCCCATTGTGCAGCTCTAGTGTGACGTAAATGAATTACTACTACTACTTATACATATTTGCCTAACACCGCTTAAGCTATCATTTTGTCATGTTTTCTAAATCAAACAATCGTTTTGACCGGGTCCCACAATGGACATATTGTAAGACCCGGTTCCCACTCAGTCACCGAAGTCAAGTATCACTGGCAGTGGTCAGTGAACGAGTGGGTGACGACCACTTTGTTAAGCCTGTGATGGTACCGAGGTTGAGTGGTATCGGTCCTCTTATCGGTCTGTTCAGCCGTAAAGTGCTCAACTTCGAAGAGGCGGATCGTCGGATCACCAAAGGAGTGGAGCCTTCCCCTCTGTATCGGATCAAAATTGCGATGGCATGTCTTCGGATTCTCCTCTGGAATGTTTTCGGATCGTCGTCAATAGCCCATTGTGCAACTCTAGTATGACGCAAATAAGAAACTGCAACTACTACAAACATTACTCTACCTGAAAATGTTCCTTATTAGGTGCTGAAGCTCAAACTCTGAACTGGTAATCTTTTCTTTTCTCTTCTACGCCATGTCAATAGAATATTTGTTTGATTGTTGACACCACATTAGAGCTACCGAAATGAGCTTCTGGCGATTGTCTTAATGATGATCCCAAGAAAGAAGAAGTACAAGTGCACACTGTACTGCCTCAATTTAGATGCATTTTTATTCATTGGTACACATACATGCAAGCTTATGTATCCAAATACATAAGTACAGCTTATAAGCCTTTGTTCAGTCGAAAGATGGATAGTACAATTCAGAGAAAGACAGCACAGAGATACATCCATTGTTACGGTGATATTTGAACCCATATCCACGATACAGCTCATTTAGCGGACGATGCCGCTCGGCCAGTGATGCCTCTCGCTGTTGTTGTTGTTCATTTGTGTCGCACTAGAGCTGCACAATGGGCTATTGGCGACGGTCTGGGAAACATCCCTGAGGATGATCCGAAGACATGCCATCGCAATTTTGATCCTCTGCAGAGGGGGTGGCACCCCCGCTTCGGTAACCCGACGACCTGCACGCGAAGTAGAGCACTTTACGGAAGAACAGTTTAACGAGGACCCATACCGCACACCCTCGTTCCCTACGCAGGCTGATCCAAGTGGTCACCCACCCGCACACTGACCATTGCCAGTGATGCTTGACTTCGGTGATCTGCTGGGAACCGTGTCTTAACGATCAGTCCACTGCGGGACGTGATGTCTCTCGCAATTAAGATCATAATGCAGGTGGTGATAGTAATTACCCAGTCTTCTCACCGCGTGCTTAAACCATACCACTACAGAACTGGACTTCAACTTATCTAATTCTAAAATTTACCATCAAAATAAGGATCGAACGTACAAACTTCTAATAGCTTCGAATTTCTTCTATCTCCAATCTGAAAATGAGAACGTTGACAGAGGCAAGAGACATATCTAGTTTTGTATTCAGCGATTGTCAGCTTTGCTTGTAGGTAGGTAAGACTTAGAAACAACAGATCGGCTGGTCTCGAATGTATTCCATCTGAACTTTTAAAAGTTGATGAACGAGAGCATATTAATGCTATCCATAAGATCATGCATTAAATTTGGAACATGGAGAAATTGCCCATTGAATGGGAAGAAGGATCTGTCTGCCCCATCGTTAAAAAGGGAGACAAACTTGAATGCCGTAACTGCAGAGGTATTACTTTCCTCAGTCCTGCAGTGGACAGAACGTTAAGACACGGTTGCCAGCAGATCACCGAAGTCAAGCATCACTAGCTGCGGACAGTGTGCGGGTGGGTGACCACTTGGATCCGTCTGCGTAGGAACCGAGGGTGTACGGTATTGGTCCTCGTTGAACTGTGCTACCGTAAAGTGCTCGAATTCGCTTGCAGATCGTCGGGCTACCGAAGCAGGGGTGTCATCCCCTCTGCAGAGGATCAAAATTGTGATGGCATGTCTTCGGATCATCCTCAGGAATGTTTCCCAGACCGTCGCCAGTAGCCCATTGTGCAGCTCTAGTGCGACGTAAATGAGCTACTACTACTACAACAACAATTACTTTCCTCAATAAGGCATATAAAATCTTCTTCAATATTCTTTTTGCTAGAGTCCAGCCTGTTGCTGATAAAGTTTTTGGAAACCACGAATGCGGATTGCGTAATTTCGATCCTCTGCAGAGTGGATGGCTCCCCTTCCTTAGTAACGCCACTTACGTCGAACTTAGCTTACGTCGAACAAAGAAAGTACTTTGCATACAAAGATATTCGAACGTATTATCTCTTGATTGTCTAATGGAAGAGCAATACTTCACAATCATGAGCATAGTTGCATTTAGTGAACCTTGAATTCTGCAAATAGAAGTTTATTGGTTTATTGGAATTACATACATTTTCTGATTTTTGTGCTCAAATTAGGCGTATTAACCTTTCTCAAATAGAAAGACAGATAGCACAATACAGAGAAAGACAGCACAAAGATACATCCAGGATAACAGCGAGTTTCGAACCCGCTACCTCCACGCTTTGCACAGCGTTTGGCAGTTGATACAGCTCGATTAGGGAGACCCTTAAGTGGAAGCAGATCTTTTTTATTTACTTAATGTTACGCATATATTTGTGCAGGCTTATAAGCTTTTGTCAAGTTAACAGACAGAACAAATTAGAGAAAGACATAACAAAGATACATCTAAAGCTGCGGTGGGGCTTGGACCTGCTACCTTTAAGCTGCAGAGTCTTTGGTGGAGTAGTGAAACCTCTCGGCCAAGAAGGTCCTGAGAAGCAAATCTAAGGATATCTATAACAAATTGATAATAGCTAACTTATTAACCCATTAGTTGCTGGTCTTTTTAAAACTTTAAAAACAAATACTTGAAACTAGCATTTTAAAGCAAACGCTTTCTGATTAAAATGAATTAAGCTTTTATCTTTGTTTGTTTTGCGTTTAACGTTTTTTCTTATTTTTTAATTTTTTTTTAAAAAAAAACTGAATACTTCTAGGAAACATTTGATAATCAAGTAAGTTTTGTAATTTGTTTATTTAAATTCAAACTGTGTGCCTTAATTAGCAAAAAAAAAATTTATATATTTTATAATATCCTTAAAACGAATTTTAATTAGGTTAAAACATTAAGTATGCTGATTTAAAGCGAAAAAATCATTGAACACTGGTATATTTCGCTTCCATTCAATTTAAGCTGTGAATACCATTTACAAAAATCATTCAGGCAAATCTCATAAGGTTGAAATATCTTAGTACAAAAAGTGAATACATAAACAATTTGATGCATATTCATAAAAATTCCTACTCAAAATTATATTTCTTGTCTCTTCATCGTGAATCACCCTAAACTGCGAAAAATAGTGTGTAATCAGTTCAATCTCTCCGGATTTAATGTTGAACAACCCAAAAAATTATGTGAAAGAATACTTTTGTCAATTTAACCACAAATTTAGCTTTCATATACAATTTAAAGAGTGTATAAGAATTCTAAACGCCGAAGAGATAAAAAGTTAACATTAAGATCTCGCTCCTTCTGCATAAATAATTTTGCTTTCGAAAACTCCAATGTTGGCAAGTTTTGATATCGACTGAAATTGTTTACAATCTATAACGAATTGACTAGTGTTTGTGGTCGTCTTCAATGCTGTTTTTCATCTACAGAAACGTAAGTTCACCATTAAAAATATGTATGTTTTTAGTTGCAGAATAGGGATTTTTATATTTTAATTTTCAAGTGTCTGTAAACTGTATTAAATAATTTTAAAATGTATAATTTCTATTCTACTTCGTTAAGCCTAAATCGAATTCTTCTTAACCTTTTTTCTTAAGGCTGGTACAACATGTGGACCACATGTAATGGTACAAATGATACACCGTAAGCAAAGAGTTCTCTCTGTGCTACACGTATGTTTGGTTTATAAATTAATTTGATTTTAAGAATTCGTGTATGTATATAACCTAAATTACTGATTCTTACTTCATATTGTCACCTAAAAATAACTGTTGATTCTTATGTGTATCATATCTTACTGCAACTATAAATTTTAGTGTTATTGAATAACAACCATAGTGACTAGTAGCTGCTACTTTACACCAAGTAGTGTAAAATAAAATTCAAGGTGTTTTATTTTCAGCAGATACTATCCTTGAGTATAAGTGTAGTGGGATACCACTGTGGTGTAAATTAGTTGCCGCTATTTTTAATGTTCAGATACATGAAAATTTTTTACAAAGTAACGACATTTTTAACCATACACTGTAAAAACTGTATTGTAATATCTCTTCGAATAAGGTGGAACACCAAATAAGGTACAATTTAAATCTAACCACTTAATAAAGGAAAAGTTTATACAAAGTTCATGCACATTCACACCATGCGTGAATTATAAGTTACGAAATCAGACACAAAAACGTACTTTCTCTAAATAAACATACCTTTTCTTTTTTTCCTTTTTCTACAAATTCCGATTTCTAATCCCTAAGTATAAAGAGTGGATCTGGGAAATATAGTCCCCATAGTTTGGTCAGAAGAGCACTCCAAAATTTGGACCCCTTAATGTTAATTTCACTTTTTACGTATTTCGCTATAACTCAAACTTTTTAGCGAATTCCAAAATTTTTGCGCGCAATTATCAAATTCGTTTGTGCAAAGATAATACCGTGCAAAAAATAATTTATGGTCAATATTAATTTTATTTAGTAATAGTTGAAAAGTTCAGAAATGAATGGTAAACATTTTTTTGCATCATCTTAAGGAATATTATTTTAAAGGACAAAATACAAATTTTGAGCAAAATCGTGCGAATAGTTTCTGAGAAATCGAATTTTAAATATCTGACTTTTTTGAATTTCAATTTCTCACGAACTTTTCGACCGATTTCACTCAAATTTTGTATATTTCCATGTAGCATGTGATCTCAATTATTAGCATATTTAAGATCACCCCCTCTATCCATCATGTCCTAGAACTTTAAGATCCGATCATTAGATCAAAAGTTTTTAGCGAACTATGTAAACAGTTTGCAAATGCAAAACTACTTAGCTGAGATATTTTTAACCCAGAGTCTAGAGTCAATTTAAAGGGACTGTTACTCTTTTTAAAGCAGAAAAATATGTAAGCTCAAGATTTACTTTAACCTCCTGAGAACCAAGATTTAAATAATGGCAGAAAAAGCGGCTTTTGCTAAAAAATATTAGCTAGGCAGGAAGAAAACTCATGAAAATAAATGCAGCTCATAAGAGCTTTTAAAAAAAAATTAACAATTATAATTAGTTATTGCATGAAAAAATTAAAAATTTTAATTTCTAGCATTTTTTACATAATGAAGGATTCTTTTAAACAATTTTTCTTTACACTTTGGTCATGAAACAAAATTCACTAGACTTAATTATGATATCTATTTGCCATAAAACTGCCCAAAATGCAATTTGAATGAATCTTATAACCTTTTATGAACTTATAACTTGTAACTTATTAGCAATTAAGCAATTTGAGTGAAACTTATAACCGTCGTTGTACAGCCGACCCAATTTTGGGTTTACGACTACTAATGTTATTACAAAAGAATTTTTATTCTATACTTTTTGCGTCTTTTTAAAGAATGTGATTTTACATTTAAAAAAATACAAAATTTGAGAGAAATTGGAAGAATTGTTACTGAGAAATCAAATTTTAAAAATGCGACTCTTTTTTTAATTGGTTCAACGATGAACCATAACATACGTACCTTGAGCCATATTTAAATGCTAATTTACTGCAACCTTTGCAATGTATTTTATAACTATTGTATTATATGTATTATATAAGTTTACGACTATCAATGTTCAACTCCATGACTTAGTAATTTTGAACCCAATCCAGAAGACAAGGGAACCCTGTATCAAGTATTGGGCTAAATTTGTTTTCGTGGAGGACTTTTTGATGGAACTAATCCGCATTTGCGTTACATGGAGAGGAAAACCACGAAAACCACCTATGATTAGGCTGATTGAAAGAGGACTCTAACTCACGATCAGATATTTTACGTTAAGCTCCTGACCTTTCTCATAAATTTTATTTGCTATTAAATATTCAGACCAACGAGAGTAAACCCAAATGCATTTTTACATAGACAATCGTTTTTTAATGGCATAGAAAAAGAAAAAAAAATCAAAAATCATAATTTTTTAAGTGATGAAATTATACCAAATATTGTCCTCTTATTGGACGCCAAATCTACGGAGATTATTAGGACTTATTTGGCAGAAACAAGGTAGTTTTGTCCACGCAAAAAAATTATATAGTGCTTTTTTTAAAACTAAAGTCGACAAATGAAAGACATATTCACTTGTCATCTATAAACTATCAATACTACAAATATAAACTATCACTTTTTCCATATTAATGACATTGGACCACTTTTTATGGCTTTTTCATGATTTTTTAAAAAATTGTTTTGGAGTAGAAAATATTTTTTAAAACAGCTTCCTGATATTTTTATATACTCTTTTTTTTCCAATTTCAATATTCAATTCTTTTTTTTTCCAATTCAATTTATTTTTTCCAATTTTTACCAAATTCAAAATATAGTTTTTCTTAAAATTGCTCTGAGATCTCAACATATAGAATTGTTTCTTGACATTTTGCATTTTGACTAAAAATGTTACGAATTTTTATTAATTTTTATTATTTAAATGCTTTTTTTTATAATTTATTAAAGCTCGTATTGTTAATAATTGTTCTGGCAAGTTCACCTTGGCTTTCCAAGGCAGGAAATATTGCAGCGTAAAAAGGGCTGAAAAACCAAACTATCAACAACAACAAAACAAAACTACAAAAAAAAAGGAAAAAGCTAAATTTTATTGAACCATCATACTTTTTTTCAGAAACATGGCGTATAAGGCGAAAGAAACAAATTTGCAACCCTCACTATCAGATGAAAGTTTGAATTCACCTTTCCAGCAAAAACCGGAATCTCATGCTTTTCCAGAAAATCAACCAACTTGCTCGACTACACCAAATGATCAGAGTCCAAGAGAACAAACAACATGCCTGATTACTCCAAATATTCGCATTAAGCATCTTTTTGTTTACAACTTCCCATCTGAAATAAGAGAATCTTCACCATTTGACACAATTGTCAAATTCCCATCTAAACTTCAGTCACCAGCAGCCAGTAGTGGTCCTATTTGTCGTATATGCCACGAGGGTGACGATAAAGAAGATTTGGTGTCGCCTTGTAGATGCACTGGTATAATTAAATTTTTTAACTCTTTTATAGGTATTTAACTGTTTATTGTGAAAAAACTGGCACTCTTCCAGACTAATCAATATACACATGGTGTTCCGTAATCACAGCCTTTAATATATATTTTGAATATTATATATATTTTAATAATTATATATATATAAAATAATATATATTTTAAATACTTTAATATTTAATATATATTTCATTAAAAAATGCATTAATGATTTCCAATAGTTGAGAAGAAACATTCTTCGAAATTTTTTAGTAAATATTGAAAAATGAACTTCAGGAACAATATAATTACAATTGTAACTGTCGTGTTATTTAGTTCAGATAAAGAAAATTTTTATCTGTTTTATGAAAACTTTTGCTATAATGGAAAAATAATTCGCGAACATAATTATTGGAGATGGAACTGCTAACAGGGCTGTCAACTTTCTATGCTTTTTGGGAAAATTTCTTCCAGTGGTAGCTCATTAATGCTTTAATGTATTAATCTTTGCTTTTGTAAATTTATTTAAATTTATTTTCCACACCACTGCATGAAAATAATTCAAAATTTTATATAAAATGCCACTTTGTTCAAGCCCTCTGGTGGTTAAGTTCAAAAAATTTTGCAAAGTTGTGAAATCTCTGAACGTTTTAGTTTTTAACAGTCTACGCCCCGCAGTGATCTGATCATCAAGACATGGTTCGCAGTAGAACATCGAAGTCAAGCATCGTTATTTGCTGTCAGTAAGCAGGTCGATAACAACTTTGGTTTGCTTGCGTAGGAACCAAGGGTGCACGGTATCTATCCTTTATTAACTGTTCTACCGAGAAGTGCTCGATATCGCAAGCTGGTAGTCGGGCTACCAAAGCAAAGGAGCTATCTCCTCTACAGAGGATAAAAATAGTGATGGTATGTCTTCGAATCATCCACAGGGAAGTTTCCCAGATCATCTCCAATTGCCGATTGTTCAGCTCTAGTACGACGTAAATAAAGTACTAACCTATCTCTAATAACCTACAATTCTGTAATATTTATATATATGACCGTCGTTGAACAGACGACCCAATTTTGGGTCAATGACTACGAATACTCAACTCCGTAGCCTTGTAATTTTGAATCGAATACGGAAGACAAGGGAGCTCCTGGATCAAGTATAGGGAGAAATTTGCCTTCGTGGATGACTTTTTGATTAAAATAACCAACATTTGCGTTACATGGAGAGGAAAACCACGAAAATCTCCCACGGTTAGCCTGACGGCAAGAGGACTCTTACTCATGATGCGTCTACTACTGGGTGCGAAATTCGTATCAACCAGCCATCGCTGAGATTCGAACCCGGTTCGCCTCATTGGAAGGCGAACGCTCTATCCCCAGAGCCACCACGGCTTAATGCAAAATTATTTGGGAAAAAAAAGCGTAGTAGTAGGCAGCCCTGTATACAAGAACTGTTAACACAAGATACCAATTGGAGTCTTCCTGGCCAAGCTGTCACGTCTTTCAGCCAGGAAGGTAATGAGTTTGTGATGTCCTTCTTTAATTAGTGAGCCATCTGTTCTTCAATTTGACAAGATCTTATTAGACAGCTTTGTAATGAGCATACAAGTCTGCGTATTGCAGTTATTGACATTACAATTTCAGAGCACTGTGTGAGTTAAAACTGATTTAAGTAAAAAATAACATGACTTAAATGACGCGTGTACCGACGGAAAAAAATTGTGCACAAATTTTAAATAGTCTTCTGTTATTATATCGTTTTTAGATGCAAACTTTTATAACTCTTTCAATTTTTATCCGATTTACTTCCAATTTTTCTTACAAAATGCAAATTCGATTCCACCTAATTCATTACGAGTTTCATAAATGTGAATGAAATAATAAAATAAACTAAAATACTTTGGGACTAAGCAAAGGAAGTTTCTGACACCTTTAATTTTGAATACTGTGAACATTTTTTGTGAAACTGAATATTGAGAATTGTTATCTTGAATTTTATACGGTATAGCCATATTTGATTTATTATTAAATTAAACTCTTTTCGCAATCTTGTCCAATCAATATTCTAATTCATAATTTGAGAATATTAGAATGTTCAAGTATTGTTACGCATTGAAAGCTACGTAGGGAAATATCAAATGAAATTAAATATTTTATTAAAAAAAATAAGGCATTGAATAAATAGAAAAGCATTTTTTATGGTATTGTATATTATGTCAAATTTTTCGATATAGTTAAATTGAGAACCTTTTTGAGAAATATTTGTCAAATAATTTTTGCAACTTTTAAATTAGCCATATATGTATCTATTTTGCCAATATTTATTTAGCATGCAAATATAAAACTATTTCATAACATGAAAAGAATATATTAATAAAAAGAATAATAAATTAAAAAAAACAATAATAAAGAATAATATATGCAGTGAATAGCATGAAAAGAATAAACTAGCAAGAATAATAGATAGAAAACAATAATAATAATAATAAAGATCGAAACCAATAATAAAGATATTAATAAAGATAAAAACCAATAATTAAGAAGAATAGATAAAGAAACTATAACAATAAAGAGGAAGTTATAAAATATGATGTAAATTATTTTGTACTTTATTTCAGGAACAGTTGGACTCGTCCATAAGAAATGCATGGAAAGATGGTTAAGCAGCAAATGTAACAACACTGTCGATAAATGTGAAATTTGCAATTATCCATTTGTTACCATTCGCAAGCCAAAATCATTTTATGAAGTATGTATTATTTTATGTTTTGTACTAATAATTAAAGAGATTACTAGAGGAATGTGTTAAGCAAGATTTTAATGAATTGAAGAGCTTTTGTTATTGTAACATAGTGACAATCTCCCTTTTTCTAACTGTGATAACATTACATCAAACGTTAACATTGTTAACATCAAACGATAACATTGTTAACATCAAACGCTATTATTGATTAACATCAAACGTTAGTATTGTTTCCTGATTGTTTTCAGCATTTCCCGTAGTTACAACACAGTACGCAGAAACATTTTCTACATGGAAATCTCGACGTGTTTAAATGGTGATGTGTTTCTAACCTTAAAGTTCTCAAATAATGCAGACGATATTTTAAGTTATGAAATTACACAGAGCACAAAAACGTACTATTTCTGACTAAACAGTCTTTTATTTCCCCCGGATCCGGATTTTTGAACCAACAAAGTATGAAAGTAGCAGCTAAGTAGATAATCTTTGGTGAGTAGTGCTGTTGAATGTTTGGTAATGTTATTTTAACTTTTTGAGTATTCCCCGATATCTTTCGCACTAATGACGCAAATGAAGTTTTACACACAATTTAAAATCGTGCTTAATCAGAGATACTTCCATCTAAAAATAATTATTTACAATAATTTATTATTAATAATGAGCCAAAATAAAATTTAGTTTCAAGATATAAAACTGTTACACCATTTTAATATACCTAATTTTTAATGACAATAATCCAAAATTTGAAGGAAACCAGTAGATTAGTTCTTAAAAAAATTAAAATAAAGCCTTTAAATTATTTAGAAGTAGTGGTGGGTTAAAATCTTATAAATGGAGTTTTTTTTTTTTAAAAAAAAAAAAAAAAACCAAGAATCGTAAGTTAAAACATACATTTTGAAAAAATTGGAAGTGTTTTCTAGCTATCACATAACATGATATTCTAGTTGTCGTCTTAGGAAATATATAATATTGCCACATAAAATGTCTGTTTGAAAAAAAATTTTACAAGTACTGTTATAAGGTTGGCAACTAAGTTTCCATTGTTTTTAACCTCTGGACCTTTCCCATTGAGTGAAGATCTTCTCTGCAGCAGTATGAAAACATTTCATTATCTTAGCCTATTCTCTCCAGTTCAATTTTATACAAAATTTGGTTCAATACACAACGCGAATGAGGCGGATCCTCTCAACTGTTTGGGTTTAAATGCTTAGGTTTACCTCAAAAGTAAGGTGATCTAAGGCATGAGAAGGGGTTCAACCGTTTCTATTACAGAACAAACTCTGCTTCGTGTATATTTGAGAAAGAGAGAACTTCTCTGAGCAGAACCGGCTTTTGTTTACATGATGAAGCAGCATTATGAGGAATTATACTTACATTTTGGCTTTAAGCTTTGTTAACAAGTAACTTAGATTCGTCGCAAAATGAAAATTTGACAAACTGCCCACTGTTTTTCATCGAAGAAAAAAGTGCGTCTTTGAGGTCAAACTCTCAATTTTTAAACCTAGAATACCAATCAAGAGCTAACGCTATGGCACCCTCTTTCAGCACAGCACAAGTATCACGAACAGCTTTTATAGTCTTAGAGTAAAAATAAAAAGACGTTAAATATGCTCATTTATCAACTTCTATTTCAATGATCTAAAAATTCAAATAAATTCCTTAAAAAAATAACTCGCTTGAGCAAAATATGCTACTTTTTTGTTCTACCAGAACATATGTCTAATATCCTTCAGTTAATACATTATGCCAAAAACATTTAGTGACATGCGCTATGTTAAAAGTTTAAAAACAGTGGGAAATTAGTTGTCAATCCAATAAATAAAAGTGGCAGAACTATTGATTTCATTCAATTAAAAAAAATAATGTATTAATGATTAAATCTATTTCAGTTTATTCAAACTGAAAGGCATTCAAATGCAGTTAATCGGAGCAGTTTTATGGGTGACTTGACATGCTTTTTCCTTCTTACGCCATTGGCCTTTGTCAGCGGTATGCTTTGTGTTGAAGGAGCTATGAAACAAGTACTTATGGGAAACAGCCTAGAGGCTGGTTGCCTGATGGGATTAGCAACCTTTCTGATTACTTCCTATATTATATGGCTTGTTTTAACTGTTAGGTATGTATGTTATCCTATACTTTTGATCTAGAAATTTTGCATAAGTTAAACCCTAGTTTCGCACCCAGAACATTTTTGTGATGCGAATTGCTTATTAAAAGGAATAAAAAAATTATAAAGATTTTGAATTTTCGCCTTAAGGTATTGCTTAAAGGCAGCATAAGGTAAATTTATATAAAAAAAAAAACTTTTGATTATTGAAATTTAACCTGTTTTTATGGCAGGGATAGCCTGGGCGGTAGGGCGCTGGGCCCATGCCCGAGAGTTCGTGGGTTCGAACCCCACCGGCCAAGGACTCTCTGTGTTTGTAAATGGTGACTGATGCAAGTTAAATCTGTCGATTCGCAGTCCTCCATGTTTCCGTAACAAATCAATACCTCTGGAGGTACTGAATTGGAGATTGATCGTTCTCTGATTCAAGCCAAAATTACGATCTGTGGATGAATGAATGGGTCAACCCTATAAACGGGTGTGACGAATGGGTGTGGCAAAAGTCGAATTCTTGGCCATAGATGGCGCCTCTGGAAAACAAGAATAATCGCACCCCTCTATCTTAACAGGCATACGTCAACAACAACATGTTTTTATAATACTTTATATACGGGTTGCCCAAATGAGAATTGGACATGTGCGATTGTGTCAGAATGACTGCAGCTATGGCAGCGCCATGGAACAGAGATATAAAGGGTTGTAAGATGTGTACACTGCGTACAGCGTTGAACAATGAAAGCTGTTTGTGGTAAAATAAACTGATCGAAAGTAAAGTCTTGCTGTACATGGATGCGTCCAGATCGGAGTAACGCGTGGAAGTACAGTTTCTGATTGTAGAATGTGAGCGTAATGCGGTATTGTACTCTGACGAAACCACTAAAATCAATTAAAAGCGAACAACCATACCTTCTCCCACAACAAGTGATCCTTCTCCGTGACAATGCCCACCCACACGTCTAGCGTGAAATCCCGACAACCTTATAAAATTCCCGTTATTAAGTGTTGGGCCACCCGCCGCACAGTCCTGATTTGTCACCCTGTGACTTTTACATCTTTAAGCCACATAAGAGAAAACTACGTTTCCATTCGGACGAAGTGAAGAAAGTTGTGCACGGCGTTCTCCAGAATCAACAACAATTTTTCTACAAGAGTGGTGACTCAGGGGATAGAGCGTTCGCCTTCCAATGACGGGAACCGGGTTTGAATCCCACCGATGGCTGGTCGTTACGAATTCCGCAACCGGTTCACACCGACCACAGTGCAGACGTAAAACATTCCTCAGTGGATAATGAGTTAGAGTCCCCTTACCGTCAGGCTAACTATGGGAGGTTTTCGTGGTTTTCATCTAGATGTAGCGCAAATACTAGTTAGTTCCATCAAAAAGTCCTCCACGAAGACAAATTTCTCCCAATACTTGATCCAGGAATTCCCTTGTTTTCTGGATGGGGTTCAAAATTACAAGGCGAAGGAGTTGAACATTGGTAACCGTCAACTCAAAAGTAAAAAGTAAAAGACGATTTTTTTTCTACAGCGAAACAAAAGTAAAATTTCTTTATCTCGCATTTGAAAGGGCATGTCAGCATAAAGCTAACACCTTCTAGCAGAGAGAAGGCCTCAACACTGATCAATTTAGCAGTCAAGCGTGAAGAATATAAACTGCGCAGTGGAGGAAAAGTAAGAAAGATGTCACTATATTCGGGCTACTAAGGTGCACCGTGAGAGAAAATATGAAAGATGTAATTTCGTTTGGACTACTAAAGGATCAAATTTCTTATTTGTGGTAACCCACGCTAAGGCCTTCTCCTCTCTTCTAAAAGGTAAAGATAAGACACGCTATTTTTAGTGGTCCAATCAATTTCAATGCTCTTGCAACGTCATATAGTATCTTTTTCAAGAACGAATGTTCTCTTTATTTTTCGAAATATGTCGCCAAGCCTAGGATTCCATTAAGGCTACCAAACTATAACCTTTTTTCATTAATTCCATGATACCTATCGCAAAAGATAGCACGAATTAAATTTCTGTCTGGCGTGCTTAACTTTTTACATTGTTTTGATAGCATATTTGTACAATTTGAAAAAGAAATGAAACGTAACTATATGCAGTCACGCATGATTACTTAAATCCTATACCATAAAGGTCTTTTAACTTGCAACGGAGTATAGATGAGAGTAGGCCTCAGCAAGGGTTACCATAAACAAGAAAGTTGATCCTTTAGTAGTGGACTGATGGTAAAGACACGGTTCCCAGAAGAACACCGAAGTCAAGCATCACTGGCTGCTGTCAGTAAGCGGTTGGATGACCACTTTGATAAGCCTGGGTAGGGTGTGTGGTATCGGTCATCATTAAACTATTCTACAGCAAAGTGCTCCAATTCAAGCGCAGGTCGTCGGGCTACTAAAATTGGGGAGCCATCCCCTCTGAAGAGGAACAAAATTGCAATGGCATGTCTTCGTATCATCCTCGGGGGTGTATCCCAGACCGTCACTAATAGCCTATTGTGCAGTTCTAGTGCGACGTAAATTAAGTACCTACCTACCTTTAGTCTCGCAAAAGTACTGACCACTTTCGTATTTCCCCCTACTGTGCAGCTTGGAAGCACGAACGTAGTGACATCTTTCTTATTTACCTCCACTGCGCAGTTTATGTTCATTACGTCGGACTACTAATTTGATTCGTGCTGAGCCCTTCTCTCTTATAAGAGGTCCCGCGGTGAGCTGATAGTTAAGACATGGTTTCCAGTAGAACACCGATGTCAAGCATCACCGGCTGCGGTTAGTGTGCGGGTTGGTGACTACTTGAATCAGTCTACGAAGAGACCGAGGATGTGCGGTATTAGTTCTCGTTAAACTGTTCTACCGTAAAGTGCTCGACTTCGTGAGCAGGTCCTTAGGCTACCAAAGCATGGGTGCTATCCCCTCTGCAGAGGATCAAAATTGTGATGGTATGTCTTCAGATCATCCTTATGGATGTTTCCCAGACAGTCGCAAATACCCATTATGCAGCTCTAGTGCGAGGTCATTAAACTACAACAACAACTCTCTTATAAGAGGAGTTGAGCCAGCGCACAATGCCTATTACATTGCAGTCAACAAACTGTCCATTGCGAGAGTGTTTTCTCTTATTGCTCTATTTAGACTCCTATGTTGTTGAGCAAATCAACGTTGGGAAACTTTTTCAACGTAAATATTAATATCAAACCGCAATGGACAGTTTACTTCAATTATACAAGGATTCTCAAAATGCATGCTTTGAAGTTTTAGCCTAACGCTAATTTACTTGCAATACGCAACTAAATACATTGGTTTTTCTCTTTCAAAGGTACCACATACGATGTTACTTAAAATGGCGGACGAAGAACCATAACGTCAAGTTGATGAAAATTACGAGGATTTCAACTGCAAGTGATGGTCTAAATCACTCGTGTATTCAAATTGTCACTCAAGAGCCAAATAACCAACCAAATTTTGTCTTCAACCCAAATGTAGTCGTTTCGATTCCAGAGGCAAGCTGAGGTAATAAATCATTCAAGTGCTTTTTGAAGTAATATTTAGAAAGGAATACTTAATTTTTATGCTATCACGGGAAAAAAAACCGTTGCATCTCTCCGTGTAAAAACACATTATTTAACCCTTTCGAAGGCAGTGGTAAGTATACTTCCCACCACTATTTAAAGTCCAGGGTAAACTTTTCACCACTTTTTACTTAGGTTTCCATTTCTTAATTACTTCAGCTTTCTTGAAGTGCGTTTGAATAAAATTGGTAACCATTTGTTAGTTTAAGAAAACGTACAAAAGTTATAAAACACATAATTCCTTTTGAAGTTTGTAGCATTTATAAAATTTATTTGATAAATAACGAAAAAAAAAAGTTAATAAGTTACTAATAGGTCGTGGTAAATATACTTACCACCAAAAAAAATGGCATTAAAATTTAGATTAATTTCTTATAAGCTAAGTGAGTTCTTTTTTCTTATATCAATTTCTATTCCAAATATACATTAATTTACCTTTACTAGAAATAAATGGCCCATTAAAGGGTTAAATATAATAATAAATTTTGGTAGAATGTAAAGTATATACTGAGTGGCGCAAATAAAAGTGAACTGTCGAACATAGTACCAGGTACTAAGTAACAAAGGAAATGTATAATAGTTCCTGCGAAATGAAATTTTGAAATATTGTAACTCTGAAGATATTTAATGTATTTCGTTCAAATTTTGTATTTTTAAATTACATTGGTGATCAAAATGGGTTACAGGAGGCGTAAAGCAGAACTCTCTACGTATGGTAACACTTAGCATGCTTTCACCACTTAGCGTGTGGAGAGTCATGGAAGAAGGAAGTACGTTAGCTTCTGTCGTGCTTTTCAAATAGATTAAAAACTTTAAAATAGGAAACTATATAGAACTGAAAACAACATTGAACATAGTGTGTAAAAGATAGTGTCGTGGAAATTTTTAAATATATTTTTGACAGTTAAATACGAAAAATGTTAGAGGAAAATTTCGTAGTGCATTCCTGTACAACTGAGAAGAGGGGGAAGGAGGAAGGGTCAAGACATGAAACCAGTCTTCCATGGACATGGCGTATTCGAGCACTGCGATCGTGAATTAGGACCATATTCTTTAGATTGCAATTACCCTTATATTAGATGGTCAAATCCCAATACGTCGAAGAGAATTATGTTTATTCAGAGAAAGTACGCTTTTGAGACTGATTTCGTATTTTAAAATATATTTTTTTCCAATGCCCACCTGTGTTAACATCCGTCAATTCAGGCATATACAGGACGATTTTGTTGGCCTCTCTTTCAGGGGCACCATATTAGGTGGGCCAACGTCGCTCCCACAGTGAGGACTGATAGTACAGAGAAGGAAAGAACATTCATGTCTTGCCCGGGATTCGAACCCAGAACCTTTCTGATGCAAAGACAGTTCCCTGCCCCCTACACAGGCCGGTCGGCGCGTATTTTAAGATATTGTCTTCGAAATTAAATAGCATATTTGAGTCCCCCATTTGAATCATTAAGATTGGCACATTAGTGAACATTTGTTCATTCTCAGCCTCAGCAATATCTTTCTGTTGCATTATATTCATAACATCAAATGAAATTCATTAAATCATGATTAAATCATACACATATAAATATTAGGCTGTAAATGAAAAACGCCTTCAGTATTCTTTGCGCCGCTAAGCTATAAAATTATATGATTAAGCTTTTATTGTTCTTAGCATTCTAGATTAGGTTCTAGGCATAATAGGAGATTGCTCATAGAAATTTAGATTGCGAATACAAGTCACTGATTATCCCGCAGTTAATCACTTTTAAGGCTAAACTATTGAAAGAAAATGTGATTGTAAAAGTTTTAACGAAGTAGTTTATTTTAATAAAAATATTTAAAAATAAAAATTCTTTTTTTCTCTTTGTAGGTTTAAATGAATAAGCCCACAGGACTCTTAAGGAAAATGAATGAATGCTTTTAGCACTATGAAAAAGCACTATAATGGAGGATGTGCTCATTGTTTTATTATATTTGTTTGCTTCATTGCAGTTAAAACATTTTAAAAATGTTTTAACTTAGTAAAGTTTTAAATTTTAAGAATCCTTTAACCGTAGATGCTTTTCTTTATTATTATTATTGCTTATAGCACTACTAATGCTCATAGCACTAATGAGAAGCATTTTAAAGAAGCACTATTGTGGAAAAAGTGCAAATTGTTTTATATTTGTGTTGCTTTATTTCGATTTGAGAACTTAAAACTTGTAAAATTTTAAAATTCTTAACTTTCCTTTATGGTTGTTTAAACTTTTAATTATTGAACTTTTTTTAAGTTAATAAAATTTTATGAAGTTTCGCATCTTTTATATTTATCTGCAACTCGTTTTAATAATGGGCAGTCAATAAAATGGTTTCCTTTATCTAATAACCTTATACGTCTAAAATATTTCCTATTTTATCATGGTAAAGACAATGATTTCAATATTGTTCAAATTATGATAATCTTAATCGGTATCTAGAGAATTTATTATGTTACTCAACAACAAATTTTGAAATTTGTTACTAAACTCATCAACAGAAGCTTACTATAAACCACTTTAACAGTTTTCTGCAGCCTGTTTCATTCCAATGAAAATATTTGCCCACGCATCTGTTAAAATTTCTTTACGGTGTAGTTCCCAGTGGATCACAAAAATCAAGCATCGCTGCGGTCAGTGGGCAAGTTGATGACCAATTTGATCATCCTGCAAAAAGATCGCTCATACAGATCGTTGTACTCTCATAGCAAAAGAGCCATCCCCTCTGCAGAGGACCAAACATGGCATGTTTTCGGATCATCCTCTGAGGATGCTTCACAGATAGATACCAATAGCCCATTGTGCAGCTCTAGAGCAACGGAAATAAAGTACTATTACTTTAAGGTACAAATTACAACACGTCGCTTCTGCAAATGGAGTTTAATTTCAAAATAATGTTTCATAGTTATTCAGTTAGAAGCACCATCTAATGACAAACATTTTATGAAATTTAGTGGCAAGATATCTGGTTTTCGAAGAAACCGTACACTTTTTATCTCATCATCAATGGCTCGACAGCCCAGGGTGGGCCTTGGCCTTCTCAAGAAGTTTTTTCCAGGTTAATCTTTTTCCTGCTAGCATTTTCCAGTTTTCAAGACCAAAAGATCTTTTTCTATCCAACTAAAATTCGGCACGCCTCTTTTTTCCTGCGCTAACTGTTCTGGCCAATGACAGACCCTTTGGCGTATCACAAAAACTCTTTGTGGTACGGTCTTCCTCTATTCTGATAACGTGGCCTGCTCATTTTGTTGTTTGTCGTTTAATGAAGTTAATAATGTCAGGTTCATTGTATGAGTGATAAATCTCTAAATTAGTTCTTCTAAGTCACACACCATTTTTTTTTTTTTAATTCCTTCAAAAATACTTCTCAAGACCTTTCTCTCAAAAGTACCCAACATAACCTCATCCGTACAAGATATGGTCCAGGTTTCACAAGCATATGTTAAAATTGGTCTTAAAATAGATTTATGTAATATAACTTTTGTTTTTCTATGAATTACATTAGATTTTATGTATTTTCTAATTCCATTAAAACATCTATTGGCTATAGTGATTTTTCTTTGTATTTCCATTGTAATATTGCTCCTATTGTTGACAACAACAGGAACTTCTATCTACTACTGGTTTTTCCTTTTTCAAAACATCGGCCGTTTGTGGGACATCGGATACATTCAATATTGCTTAGCTTTGGACTCATAACTAACTTCTTTGGTAATGTGATATAAAAAAAATTTAAAATACTGTTACTTACCCTAATATACTTTTGATGATGTTTATACTTGCACTAACAGTTTGAAAACTCTCAAAAAGTATAATCGATTGTTTAACTATTATGGTCTGAAATTATGTAAAAAAAAGTTTGTTTTTAAAATTAACAAATAACTTTTTTTTAATGAACAAATTAATCAGGTTTAATGAAGAAATCAATCAGGAAAGCAGTTCAAGTCAGGATCCCTCATTAGTTGTTTCTACTCTACAACTTAAGTTTTTTTTTTAACCAAAAGTGATATTTAATTTAATAAAACTGTTCGGATACTAAAACAAATTTTTACATTTTGAGTTCTGTTTGTCAAAATCCAAAGATCGCAATGAACAGGGGAAATACCTAATTTTTAGAGTAAAACTTTCTATTAAACCTAATGAAATATGTTAAAATTCAGACACCTTTTTTAAAGAGTTTGACTGATATATCTATAGTACGGCTTTCAGGAGAACTCTTCCAGACACCCGTCTCGTCGTGGCGGGTACTACGGTTACAAGGGACGATCAATTTGAATAGTGGTATGGGGTGAATAGTTTTGTCTTAATCTTAGCGTAGGTCGTCGTAAGTAAACCAATCGACACCTTCTTTCCTCCATTTCACCCCCATTAGAAATGTACTCTCGCTTGTTACCACAGCAGCAGACAACCCCATACTTTCAGTCTGGAGGAGTTCTCCTCAAAGCTGCACTATATATAAACACAGAAAGATACTCAGACTAAAAAAAAAAAACTACAAAATGTATATAAACAAAGTTTATTAGAAAAATATAAAATTTAAAAAGTAATACTTTAAATATTTGAGCCTATGTAAGCTTTTCATATTACCTATGAGTCTACGTAAAACATAACAAATTTTGCAATGGTATAAGATTTTACACAAGTGACATTAAGAGGATATTTCCACCTTTCCATCTAAGCAATTCAACTTTGAAGAGCCAAAAATATAAACACTTTTATTATTAATACATAACGGTAAATAGAAAGATCCTGTGCTTTCAAAATAAATGCTAATAATGACACAGCCATTCTATCACTTTTTAGGAAATATTCAGTAGTCTTTTTAAAAGAATACATTAAAATCATTTTCACAGAAAAGAATCAACAAATATATATAAAAATTTAATATATGAATTAATATACTAAGTATTAATAATAATTCAGAATGAATGTTTTAATTTGTTTAAAAAATACATTTTACACTTTAACAGCAAAAAATTTTATAAGTTTATTAATGATACAATTTATTAATATTTGCATATCTTTGATAAAGTATTACATGCATTACTAAAAATGTACCTTTCAGTAAAAGCCATACAAAACCTGTTGCATTTTGGCTGAGACAATTCAATATCTCAATTTTCTATAACTTTTTCTTTTAGAAAATAAAAGCATTAAGCTAATGAAAACTGAAGCAAAACTATATTTATATTAATGCTGATTAAAAATAAGTATGATGCTAAATTTAGATTTTTCTTTTATCTAAAAGAGCAGTTGGGATGACTATGTAGTGACAGCAATAATGTATTATGTAGTGACAGCAATAAAATAACTTTTTTAATCTTATTCATATAAATTCAAATTAAGATTTCAGCTTTGATTAACTTCAACTGAAACTAATAAACTGGAAAGCATTTCAAACTTAGGATAGAACAAAGCTTTATTCCTTGAAGAATGGTTTTATTTTCACTTTAAACTATGTAATGCTAATTTGATGTGTTTTGATATAGTTCTCAGCCTCATAGGAGAAAAAATTTATACGAAATCCTAATTTCTATTAACCTAATAAATAAAATTAACAAAACTATTGTTTAATTTCATTGGATAAATAAAATAGTTTGCCATTTTATAAAATTTAGCTAATTTTTCTTTATTTCCTGAGCAAAATAATTAACTGCTTACATAATGTACTTTAAAGCATGATTTGCTTACATAATGTATTTTAAAGCATATACTTCAAGCACATATAATATTTGAATGTTTGATTAGTCACAAATTTTTTTCAAAGCAAAAAATTTTCATGGTGTAATAATAAATAGCAAACAATTCTCTGAGATATACAATCTCATTTAAAAAATTAGAGGAATAAAAAAAAACACAAAATATTAAGTAGAATAACTAAATTAAGCATGGTTTAAAGAAAAATGCTTTTTTTTTTTATATCATTATATAACTTAAATAACACTAAAATCAATAAGATTAAGCAACAAAAAAAATACTTTATCAATAATTTAAAAACCAATAACATGTTGCTAATAAATAATGTGACTTTCTTTTTGATTTCTAGAATAAATTTGTACATTATATTATTTGTTACTTCCATTGCTTTACATTTAAAAAAAATATTATTTTCAGGATATGAACAATTTAGTAAACATCATGTTCTTTTCTATTCTTTATGAATCAGATTTTTGGAAACAGACAATTTAGATTCCTGTGTTTCACTTTATAAGATTGCTACAGATACTGAGAAATAGTACAAAGATTTCATACAAACCATGGATTTTATTTTTTACACATCATTTTGAAAGATTAATGAAATCAAAATGGACATAATATAGTCATATTAAAATGGAATCATGACAGAAACAAAAAAATTTCATGGAATCAAAATATAAAATTCTTAGAATTAATAGAAACCAAAAGAACTATTCATACAATCAAAGTGCCGGTTCATCAATCAAAACATTGATTGCATGACTATTGAACTATTCAAGGAAATAAAAGATCACTCATAAAAAAAAACTTGATTTCATTCAAAAATACATGAAAACAATGAGTCACAGCTATGTATGTCATGACACTTTTGGATCTTATGAACCAGAAGCACCCCAGTGTCAGAGTATCCATTTTAAATTTACCAACTCCACATAATTTTTCCTAAAACCTTATTCAAGTTTTGGTAAGAAAAAAAGCAAAATGTAATTCAGCTGAAGCAGTGAAACCAAAATTAATGGAGCTCATGAAAAAAATATCACTTGATGACTTCCTGCACTCCTTTAAAAAAATAAGATATTTATAATTAATGTGGAATGGATTGGTAGTAGAAAACAATAGTAAAATACAACTTTGTATATAAAAAAAATAATTTATTGTCACATTATTTAATAACAACTTGTAAGAGAAAAACCCTATATACATAGAAAACAACAGTAAAATATAATTTTGTCTTTAAAAAAAATTTTTTTTAGTATTGTCAAATTACTAAATAGAAATTTGTAAAAGAAAATAAACCCTATATACAATTTAAGAATTATCCTGAAAGCACAATTCTGATTTTATATACATTTAAAGATATAAATTGGCACTTAAGGCAAACAACACATTGAAACCAGAACCATCTTCATGACAATATTTGTTTCACGACTCTTATTTCGATCAGTAACATTCTCTGCTAATAAACCACTTGTCTAGAAAACTTCCCAATTTTACTGATGAGTTAAATATTATAAATTTCCTTAAACATATGCAGTACCAGCTATACCAGTACAGTAATCTGGTGCTGATTCTAAGGAGCAGTGACTGGGATTTTGTGATCAAGTTTGAGTGTAAGTGATGGTCTATATCACTAAAACTTTCTGAAAGCTGATAAAATACAAAGGTAGTTTTTTTTTTCACTTACATCATTCACTGATTTAACATTGCACCCTCTTTCTGAAATCCAACTAAGAGTGACCGAAACACGTCCATTTATAAAGCTTTAAGACTAGTTTACATGTGAAGACCTCTGATCAAGAGTTTAAAAATGAATAAAAAGAAATTATTAAAAATATCAAATTCATTTAGTTAAAATATGAAAGCTTTGGTTGATCTAATTTAAACGATTTTAATAAAATACATGCTTTGTACAGATATTCTTAGCCCATAAAAAATGCTACAACAAAAATGCAACATTGGTATATATTAAATTGTTTAGAACCACCACTAGGTCAAATTTAAATACAGTTCAAATTTAATATGCACAGTGCACAAAAAGAAACATCCTGAATAGCTTTTGACCTAATAATCCAATTAACAGCATCGCGAAATACAAAGTAAACACCTCTCTAATCTCACAAAAATATAAACAAGTAATTAGCAAAGAAAAGTCACAAACCATCATTAAACTAAGGCTGAACTAGTTAAGTATTGGATATAATTCCAATATTAATAGGTACCTTCAAGAGAAGAGAATATATAAAAAATAATTAAAACCGAATAGTCCCATACCATCATTAAACCAAAACTAAACAAGTTAAGCCTTGCTTATAAATAAGATATTACTAGTTACTTCCAAAAGAATGAGAAAATTTGGCTTCAAGAGAAGGGAAAACAATAAAAATAGTAATTAATAAAATTATATACATATTAAAAAATATGTTACAAATAAACAAATTGCCAATAGGATTGTAAATTTGATATAAATAAAATTATATATCATGATTATAATAAATTGATTGTAAAATTAGATAGTGAAATTTTCTTGCAAATAAATTTTCCCCAAATGAAAGAGGTAACTATATAACTACCATCCCAACAATACAACATTTTCCACCAAATTTGGTGGACTGTCAAATCAATATTTAGCAGCATCCATAAAAGAGCTATAAACTCTTTTATTTTCTTTTGTCAGATACATAGATAGAAAACAGAAGCACAATACTTTGTGGGTGGTAATTTTCAATAATATTCACACAAATATACCTGAGTACATGGCACTATTTTTTCCGTTTGTACATTTTATTGAGAAGGTAAGAAAAAAGCTCTTGCATTGATGTATTGTTCAATTTGTCCTTTATTAAACCATTAATATCTGAATAAAGCTCCTGCTCAAACTTCATATACTTATCCTGCATGTTCAGAGTTTTATAAAGGTTCATAACTTGTGAAATTGACTTTTCATTTGAAGTTCCATAATTTTCCTGCAAATAGATAATTAACATTTCAATAAATAACAGTAGATTTTAAAACAAATATTATAAAACAAATTTTTTAACACCATTAAGGGTTAACAGCAACACCTTTTTAATACCATTAAGGGGCCCAATATTTCTGGTATAAATATATATATGCATATATAAATATATGTACACCAATTAAATAAATTTAAACTTAAGTTTAGAGACTAACCATCCATTCCTTTTTAAGAGAATCATCCGCAGTTTCCAAGAATGTAACTGCAAACCATGAGCATTTCCCTTGAGCAATATCAGTTCCCAATTTGCCAGTAATTTCAGGATCTCCATAGCAATCTAAGAAATCATCCTAAAATAAAAAATATTGAAATTCGAAGAATGAGGCAAGAATATGTCTGTAGACAGAAATAAAGATTTCTAATATAGTTAGATGATTCAAATTTTTATTCAAACAAGGTAAAAATAAAAATATATATAATTCTCAAAAGCCAGGTTTTTCTATTTGCCCTTAAAGCAGATTCTGATAAAGAGGTGAGTAATTTTTTGGGGGGAGGAAGGCTGTAATAAATCTTTTCAAGTCCTTGTTTTTACCAAAGTAAAGGTTGAATATAAAGTACAGTAGAGAACCAATTATCCGGGATGCTCGGGACCATCACTATCCCGGATGTCTGAATTTCCCGGTTTTCTGGATCGACCAGAAAGTGTCGTTAATTGATGCTTTATCGAATCCGAATTACAAGGAAAAAGTGTAATGCATAAAGTAAGAGAAAAAAGAGAGGTACTCCTAACTTTAAAAAGAATAAAAAAATTTGCAAGTTTAGACAAGAAAAACAAGTTTAAAAAATACAAAATTCTCGTATTTATTTTTTAAAAATAATTACAATTCCTAAATTAACTAATATAAACAAAACCAATGGTTAAATAATGCAATATATTTCATACCTAATTATAAGGGGGAAACGATAAAATAAAAGGAAAACTTATTATCGAACTGAAACGATAGTTAAAAAAGGCACTAGCATAAATATTAAAACCCGGAACAAGGCAAGATCAACGGAATTTTAAAAAAAAACCTAATGATAAAATTTATGAATAAAAAGAATTAATTTATTGAGTGCGAAATTTATCGTGAAAAGAAAAAAAATCAAACATAGTGAAATCAGAAAAACAAAACTGCAATCTGCTTCATAAAATAATCCTATGTTTAAATTAATAAACAATTCTCCTTTTATTTTTATTTTTTTTTTGTTGATAAAAACACGATATTTAATTACAGCAGATGTGATTCCACATCAATAAAAACTTGCAAATGATATCGCACTTCCGAAGAATGAGAATTTATTCAGAAGAAAAAGATTTTATTTTTATTAATTGATCTCAAATAGATAAATATATTTTTCTCTTTCATCTTCTGTTCACTGATATGCATGCAATGCATTTTCCCCACACCCCTCGTAAATCAAACAGAAAACGAAATCAGCATGCCACACCCTTGAGCTTGATTGATGGCCTGAAGGAGAAAATAACATTCCTCCCTTCCCTGCCTTCAAGGTCGCGGAGGAAATGACGTTTCTCTGTGTAAACGGGGGGGGGGGGAATTCTCCCCTTCCTTAGATTTTCCTCTACTCAACTTCAAGGATGAGTTCAATTTCCGCTTTTTTTCATAATCGTTCTAGTTTAAAATGGTGGGAAAACCAATAGAAATTTTTCCCGGTTATCTGGATACCGGATAAATGGTTCTCTACTGTAATAAAAAGGTACGCTCTAATAGTTTACACAATTGATTTATAATTCTTTTTCTAGCAAATATATTAATATTTCGTTTGCTAAGCTATAAAATGGATTTGAAGAATTCCAATATTCAAACCTAATAATTTTCTTTAAAAAGAAACTTCACATAAACATCAACATTTGATTTGTTCCAAAAGTGAAGAATCTGATTTTGATGGAATTGATTAAATATAAGATTGAAAATAAATAAAAAGTTGGTCATTTATTTTCATTTTGTGATTCGTTAATTTTTAATCACATACACATTCTCAAATTATGATTATGTTTCTTCTGTAATTAAGTATCTCTCTCAATTCTTTTTTTTATAATGCGAAATAAAAAAAGATTCATAACTAATGACTGTTTTCTAAGTATAGATTTTATGTTTCAAAGATTATTGTTTTTCATGTGTATTTCACACATGTGATACTTGATAAGAATCGATGTGATGCACACTATTCTGCATTTTTAAAGATGTTACCTTCTTTCTTTTCACTGCGAATAACTTTTATGCGATTTCAAACTTTAATTACGTATTTGGAAAACGAATTGTGACCGAATTTATATGTAGTACTTCGTATCAATATGATTGAGATTATCTAATTACATTTCATACTTTATAGTATGTTAATGGGAAGAAAAAAACGGAAGTGCGGCCTTTAAGGCGGTGCGGAATAAAATATTAAAGCGGTAAAAAGTATAAAATATTAAAGTCAACTCCACTTGGAACTGATATGAAAATCCAAAGGGAAGACTGGTTTGTCCCTGAAAGCTCATTCCAAAAAAAAAAAACTAATTTCAAGTTGAACAGGAAGAGTTTTTCACAACATAGCCCATCTTCACTCTGTAATAACACTCAGGGAGAACTGATTTTACACATTATTGATTTGTCAAAACTTAGTATCCAATTGTCCTTTCTGTGAAAAATGGAGATGAACTATTCTTCCCCCTTGATTTTCATATATTATTATTATGGCACTCAAGGTATGCTTGGTATGATACATATGTAACTTAAAAAATCATCTTAGTATGTTGTAAATAAAATGTACAGTTTCATAATCTTTTTATAATTGTTGAAAAACTTAATTATGATAAAAATGTTGATCATTAATTGAAATAAATGATCCAGCACATGGCTAACCATCTTTGACAGACTCTCTACAATCATTGGACTATTTTTACCCATCAAATACTTTTGTCTAAAACATTTCAAATGCTTTTGTAGTAGAAATTTCATAGCAAAGACACAATTTAATGCATGTTCTTTGCTCAATGACATTTGTAATTTTGGAAAATTGGCTGGATAAAACTTTTTTTTCTCTATTTAAAAGAAAATATTTTCAGGCAATAAACTTAAATTACTTTCTGTTTATTTCCCAAGTGTTTATAAAAGCTGTGAAGATATTTGATAAAAGTTTGCAAATATCTTTTATTTATGAATTTTAAACGAAGCATTCATGGTATATTTTGATCACAGGAATACTTAATAAGAATAAGGTGAAGTTTAGATAAAACTCCCTCCCAAAGTTGTTGATTTTTTTCTACCCTTTTCACTCTTTTATCATTTTAGATTGATGTTTGGGAAACAATTTCTTCCAATCATTGAAAAAATTGACTTATTGAACATCAAGTAATACAAAAAATATTCAATGTTAATGGTGGTAATTTTGCTAGGTATTTTGCTCTCTTCAAATTTCAAAACATCTTATAGATGTTCAAGTAATGAAAGTTTTTGTTTAGATACTATAACTTTATTACAATGATTAATTAAATATTTTCAAAAACAGCTTCAGTAGAAGAATGGATTAAATCTAAATAATAATCATTACCTGAATCTGAAAAAGAAGACCAAGTTTCAAACCTAGATCTCTAGTTATTTGAAATTCTTCAGCTGTTTTATCCCCAATCTGTAATTAAAAACAAGAGCATTAAGGACACATAAAATTAAATTGAAAAGTTATAAGAATAAGTTTACTCTAAATTATAACATTGCTTTAATATGAAAAAAAATTATTAAATATACATTAATATGTGCACAGCTAATGCCTATTCCTATTTAGGGTTGCATCTTGAATTCCATTTTTACACTAGTAGTCATCAGTTATGGTAAGAGTTAATATACTCACAGGCTTTTAATTTTTAATAGACAAGCTCTATTGGACAACCAGTCAATTTTGATTTGTGAGGAAAATAAACAGGAAGGTATTTGACAGCCGAGCTCAAAGACAAAACGTAAATATTTTCCTCATAAAAGCCTCTTCTTTGTTTTGAAAGTAAATGAAAACCAAATCTGAAGCAAGCTAAAATTTTCATAAATATGCAAAGGAAACCTCACTACCTAATAGAACCGGTTGAACCTCTTTCCTTGCTTTGGAATTCTAACTTATGAGGCTTGTTATGAGAAAAACATTAAAAAAGAAACAGTTAAAAGGCTCCACACCATTCGTCTTGTACATTCAGTTCATTGAAAGACCTGTTTATGTTTCCATTAGGATTGGCGTTTTGGTGTTAAACACTGGTTTAAACTACCAATAACTGATTTTAGCTATCAAAAACTAAAATGAAAACCCAGGTCATGAAAAACAAAAGAGAAAAGGAGCTAGTGAAATTTCATAACATACAATTTAAATTACATTTAACTGAGTTGATAATTAGATGATTAAATTCCATGTACAATCTACTTAAAACATAAAGCAAACTTTTAAAATAATTATCCAAATTTCAATTCTCTTCATTAATATGATTTAGCTTTAGACTAATTATGGTAGGTAGTTTTAAATAATTTAAAAGGGTTTAGATATAATGATAAAATTTTGAAGTTAAAATAGTGCTAAAACTTTCTTATAAAAACTCTATATGAATGAGGATATGGGTTAAGTTCAACAATGTGATACATGTAAGAATGAATTGTTACAAAATAGTGCAAACTTACAGTTAGTTGAACAAGTTTAGATAATATAATAACACATATTATAAAATAAAATTAAATGTAAATTCCCTTCTTTTTCAATTGTAATTATTTATAATTGCAATTCATGTAAAAAAAACTCAGCAGAAACAACTTAACTTAAAACAAAACAGTTTTAAGCTAAAAAAAAAAATAACGTTACAAAGATACCAAAAATAAACAAAATATGTCCATACAGGCTAAGGAAATAAATTTTTTAAATTTTCACAAAGAATTTAATTTAGTATACTTAAAATTCAATAAATAAGGCTAATAAAACATACAACTATTTAAAAAAAAATTAAGGGTGTATACACACACATATTATGACCAGCAGATACTTAGATGTCATTCTGAGAATACATTCTAAAATAAAGGAACATAAAAAGATCTAGTAACTAATGTGAAAGTATTTCACTCATGTGAGATTTCATTGTGAGTGAGAGTACAAAAATATCAAAATATTTACTTAAAATATATACTAGATGAATTTTGACAAATTGACAAAATTTAAAAACAATTTAGAATAATAATACATTAAACATAAAAAATACATTAAAAATAAAAAATATATAAAAAGAGTATAACGGTTTTAAGTATCCATTTCTGCCAAATAACATGAGTCTAGCAAACTGCAAAATTTTAAAAAAAATAATAATATGAAGAAAGGTATAAATACATAACTACCAACTTTTACTGTCTTTGACAATAATTTTTCAAAGTAGAAGGAAATTTAACAATTTATTTATATTTGTGGACAGAAAATATTTTATATTTTGGCAAATCTAAAACATACCATTTTATGATTTTTATGCATTTATATATATTATCAATTCATATCAAATGGTGGTCAAAAACATTTGAAAATATATATATTTTTAAATTAAATTGAATCTCCTAAAGTTTGTTACCAATTAAAAGTAAAATCTTCTGGTATATTCTAAAAAATTGAAAACTGTGGTGTGAATATTTTTCACTTAACCGCCAATTGATTAAATTTTACAAAGACTAGTATTGTATCCTTAACACAATATCTCCTTTTGATGATGTACATAACATCAAAAGAAAGTGCTTTCAATATTTTTTTTAAACTTTTGTGAGGAATTAAATCATTGTGAAAGAAAGTATCTTTTTAAAAATTTATTAAGTATTTAACAATTGGATTTTCTTATGAATGAAAGAAAATGATGTTGAGTTCTGATAGCTATATAAGAATGAAAAGTTCAATTATAACAGATGTTATAATGGGCATTAAATTAGTATGACATCTAATGGAATAGCTATGGAACTTTATGTTTTGGTCATTTAAAAGGAAGTGTCATTGTAGTGGGAGGGGGTCATACTAAAGACTGTAGGGAGTAAAAAAAAATATTGTTTTTGCGAGCTTAATATGACTTCTTAGAACCGTCCCTATAAATGACCATGAACCTGGATCATGACTAATGATTAAAGTGGATCTTTAAAAATGCTTTGCTGTTTAAATAGTGTTTGTTTTTCATCATGATTCCAAATTAAAATCGTGCAAATGCAATTTTAAAACATTTAACGAGATTAAATATTGATTAATATAACTATTTACAAAAAAAGAGATTAAAATATAAAGGATAACATAAACACTCACAAGGTGCATAGCAAGGTGAACTGGTAAACAAAATGTATAATATGATGTTTTGTACTCAACAATAGCATTGTATCTTTCCATAGTGAAGAGGTCATATTGTGGTTTCCCATGTGGGGGATTACTTAGCATGTCCAAGCATTGTCCATAAACTGTTTTTTCATTTGTCTAAAATAAAGAAAATTGAATTGAATACTCTCAACAAATAAATATATAGTGGAACCTTGATATCACAAACTTCGATAACATAAATTTTTTGACCTCAGGAAAAAATCTTAATTTCCTAAGTCTGTGCTAAGTTTTGAAAAAAAGATCAACTTTTCTTAGCTGAATACTTTTTCGGTGAACCTTGATTTCAAGAAATATTTTTGATCAATATAAAAAAAAATCTTTCTATTTTCTTAGTACCTAAAGAATTTATAAGATCTCTCACTCTTTGAAGCATTTTTGTAGAATAATTTTATGAGTGATTTTTTGAATCCCTAGTAAGAAACAAATTTTAATCTTTGAAAAGAATTAGTCTGAATATGTCCTAAAATGAACAAACAAAAATAAATAATGGTATAGATAAGAATATCTGCTTATAAGATTAGAAAAAAAATTGTTAATTTAATAAATTCAAAAGAAACTGATATATATGATGAAGTAGTTACTTTGGATAGGATGAAATAGGATATGGTCATTTTTTTATTTTATTTTATAACCGTCGTTGAACAGCCGACCCAATTTCATGGGTTTACGACTACTTACGTTCAACTCCATAGCCTTGTAATTTTGAACCAATCCAGAAGACAAGGAAACTCCTGGATCAGTACCCCCAGAGGTATTGATTTGTTGTGGGAACATGGAGGACCTTGAGACTCGACAGATTTAACGTGCATCAGTCACCATTTACTACACGGGGAGTCTTCGGATATGGTCATTTGAAATAATCAGAGATATTTAAAAATAAAAAAAAGTTACAGCATCAGAAGATGATGATAAAACAGAAAAATAACCTAAAATTAAATGCAGCAAAAATACTGCTTAAAGAAAAGGCTCTTTAAAGAAAATACATGGTATACAACTTTTAAAGTATTACTGCATTTAATTTGACTAAATTGTTAAAAATATTTTAATTGAATTAGTCTGAATTCAAATTTCAATATCTCAAAATTTTTAGTGTCCCCCTTAGAACCCTAGGAGTTAGTAATATGTAGTTAGTTTCAATGAATCACAATTTTATGAAAAAAATATAAATGTTAGATAAATAAATTTTGTTAAAATAGTAATAAAATTAAGCATAGCTATTTTTATGTAGATATTTCAGATTTTATCAAAATTTCAAGAAAAATATTTATGATCAATATATCATGCTAAAACATTTTTATTTATTCAAATGAAATTACTTAATTGTCAAGCACACAAGAGCAGCTGACAAAAACTACAGAACATAATTTTAAGTTTACACAACTGTATCTGAGGGGCTTAATTTCGAAAACTTCTACAAATGTAATTTGAAACTCTTCTCTGCTATTTAATTCATCCTTCAAATAAAAATTGAAATAGCCTTATAGAAATTAAAATTTTTAATTTATCTTAAACTTATATAATACAGTAGAGAACCGATTATCCGGAACGATCGGGACTATCGCTATTCCGGATAACTGATTTTTCCGGTTTTCTGAATCGCTACAAAAGCCGTTTTTTTTAGTGTTAAACACAACTAAAAAAATATATATATTTGTAAATAATCTTAAAAATAAGAAAAAACGATGAGGTAATACACTAATGATTATTTCTGAAGTGATGGTAAGGTAAACATCTTTCAAAAAAGAAAGAAAAATCCTAAAATCTTATGAGGAAAAAAATTTTTTTTTTTTTAAAAAATTGCGGGAAAATTTATCGAATTTCGTTCCGGTTTTTTGGTTTTCCGGTTTTCTGATTTCCGGATAACGGGTTCTGTACTGTACAAATTTTTTCTCTCTATTATTAAACTTCAAGAAAGTTGTTCAAAATTTTGAAAGTGATTTCAAGTAAAAAATAAGCATTTAGTAAAAGATTTTTCATTCTAATAAAGATTTTAGTTTTCATAATGATCTAACAAACAGCATAGAGAAATATTTTTGTAATTAGCATGAAATGCTCCAACCTGATAACATCAAATATATACTAAATTTATTCTCTCGGTTTACACGTAGTATGTTCTTATATATATCTCTGAGTGTGTGTGTGTGTTTGTGTAGTGATTTGTGGAGCAAGGGAGGAAAAAAGACAATAATTAATTCAAGAATTAAACTTATCAAATTTAATATGGAAGAAAAATAATTATACAGTGACATCGATACCGGAGAGCTGCTTACACTCAGCGTTGCAGGACAAAGACTGATTGCTATAATTAGATTGTTCTGTAGAAAAAAGTTAATTTCATATTCGGGACTTTCCCTTCTCGACAGTCTGGCACCGTCCAACAAAGAAGTAGGTGGTTTCGATGACAGATGATGGTGAATTAAAACTACCACATATCTCTATACCACCATACTGCATATATATATACTGCCAGAGAATTGTAAATTCATTAATGAAATAGTTTCGAAATTTAAGCAAGAAATACAGCATCATAAAACAGCATCATAAATATGTTTGGCCTTACGTCTTACTATGTCTGGTTTGAAAAAAAAAGCTTTTGATTTTAAAATGCAGTCAACAAGGTTGCAAATTTCGAAAAATTTTAATTTCTTGAAACTATTTATGTTAAATAAAACAAACATATAATTATAATAAATATAAGATGTTAAGAACTCAGATGTAATGATTGAGAGAAGCACGTAAAAAGATCAGGTTTTTTAAAGATTCTTCATCATAAAAAATTGACACAATAAAAAAAAAATTTCATTCAAAACCAGGTACAAAAAATACAACAATTATTTAGAAATAAGTCACAAGGTTGGCTTGTCTAAATCAATGTGGTTTAAAACATGATATAAGCCAAATGTTTTTTTTTTATTTATTTATTTTCAAAATAAACAAGACTGGGCATTATTTAACAAAAAAACTTTTTTAATAATTTAATTCATCATTCATAAAAAATACTTTTAGTTTGTATAGAATCAAATGATAAAAATATTAAAATTTCACATAAAAAAATTTTAAATTTTTCAACTATTTCATAAACAATTAATATTTAAATTTAAAAGTTTATGTATGATTGTGTTTCCACAAAAATATCCATAAAAATTTTTAAAAAAAAAAAACAATGTGAGGTTGACAAATTTAAGATTAAGTCATGTTCTCTATAAAAAAATTTTTAAATAAAATACATCACCAAATGCATGTTCAGATAGCCTTTAAACTTAGTTAAATAGTATTATTGAACAATTTATGATAAAAAAAGGTTGACAACGATAGAATATGTTTGCTACAATCAAAAGAAGAAACGACAAAAGAACCACACATTATTTGTGTACATTTATTTTTATTCATTAAAATAAAGTTTTTTAAATAAAAGTATTTCTCTTTTTATTTTAATCCAGTAGTGATAAAAAATAATTTTACTATTTTATAAGCATTATTTTTATTTTTTTAATGATTCCATTATTATTATTCTTTTCAAACTGAATATGCATGTTAATAAAGTTGTAGTAGATATTTTTGAATTGTTTATTAAAAACATTAATTAACAGCAAAAAAAAGTTGCCATGAAATACTTTGAATAGTATAGTTATTTTTAATTTGGGGCTTAAAATATTATTTCAGCCTTTGTTTTTAAAGAAAAAAAAAATTTGAAAAAAAAACAACTTTTTTCTCCAAATCTGATATCAATAGCGCTTCAGTCAATGTAGTTAATACAGAATAATTGTGCCATGTTTGGAAAAATGATTTTAAAAAAATAGTAATATATTATGAAATTCCTAAACATAGTTCTGACATCATTCCTAACATCTAAAATTCCTGACATCATTCATTGTATTTCTTATTAAAACACAAAATATATGAAGAAACTGAAATAGAATTATTAAAAAAAAAAAAATTCCATGTTACACAAAGTCATAGGAGGTCTGCTTGTTTGAGACCACAGAAACACTACTTGGAAGTCAATCTTAAGTGATCCACAGAATGGATGACCAATTCTGGTAGAGTAAGCATACCAACAAAAAAGGGTTTAAAAGACTAATCCTTATAAGTATTAAAAAAATTTACTTTTAATCAATTAAAAAAGTATTATATAAAATGTCCAAAGTTCAACTTATTAGCCGAATAAAACAGTCATTAGTAAAAATTAAATTGGCACCTGCAATATCTTTTTCGTCATTCATATAAACACTTATGAACATTCAATTAATTGTATACATTAACTTTATAATTTAGATTTAAATATGCTTTAATCAATTTAGTTATATTAAGCAAATTTTATTTAAAAAATATGAACAAAAAAAGTTTTGAAATTGATAGAAACAAGCTCAAAGTTTCATATAAACGAATTGCATTATCTATACACCAGTTTGTTTTCAGGCTTACAAATTATTCAGATCGAAAGTTTCTTTTAATTAAATTATCTAATATTTATTATAAAATGAAGCTAGCGTGCAAGTAAATGAATTTTGAGAAAAAATAACTAAATAAATAAGACTGACACAACAGCGCATAGAGGGCTAGTGTAGTGCAGTTGTAATAGATTGTCAAAGCAAAAAATCTGTTTTTATCTATACTAAAATAACACTAGCTATTTTTAATTTTAAAAAACTTTTAAATATTACATGAAAAATACTTTAAAAAAGATTAAAATAATAAAATTATACAAAAAGTACCTGTAGAAATTCTTGAACAATTTGATTGTACGACTTGCTCCCTTCAAAAAATTTTCTCAAAACTTTATAGACTCCAGATTGCAAAAGGAAACTATCATTTAAAGCAATCATTCCAACTTCTGGCTATAATGGAAAAAAACTTATAAAAACTTACATCAAAAACAAAAATGGTAAAAAATATCAAAATAAAAATATAGTTTACTTTTTTATACCAACAGAGTTCTCCCCTTCGAAAAACAGACTCATCCATGATATCATCCGCAACAATAAAAAATGCTTGAAACTAAGAAATTAAAATAAAGAATTATTTGGTATAATAATAAATTCACAATTTCTACATTTTCCACTGAAACTTGACTAATATAGGCTACTTACCATTTCTACACACCATCCTAAAATACTGGCATGAAATATTCCTTCAGCAGTCGCATTATTCGACAGAACTTTATACGCTTTTACAACAGCAGTTCCACGGTTTCTTTTACCACTTTTCATGTTGTAGTCCAAAACCTATAAATAAAACATGTAATGTAAAATTCAGAAAACGAAACAGAAAGAAAATATAAATTTGACCTTTACCAATCAATATTAAGGTAAAACAAATGATAAAGATTTTACCTTCAAATGCCAATTTGAAACATCAGTTAGTGACTGGCTGTCATGTTCAATTGAAGCATTAAATACAACATCACGGACAGCAATGAAGTCTTCCAGTTCTGATTGATGCAACTGATTGATTTTTAATTGATTTTGATTGGTTGAAGTAGAACTACTAAAAGATCTTGAACATCTAAATATAAGAAATTTGAATAAAAAATTAACATATTTGTCATGCAAAAGAACATGCAATAGTTTTTACTACAGAATTGCTTTTATACTACAGTACGTGAAGTTTTAACTCGATATTGCTACACAGCCCCATGGCAGTATTGCAGTGACACAACGACATTGTCGCAGAACATTACAGAGTTCTTGTAGAAAGATTTTCTTTTGAAAAGGAAAAAAAAATCTCCTTTTCTTTTCTACAGAAATGTACACGTAATATTTGAATCATGAATTTAGAATCACTTTTTGATTTTTTTATTTAAGCTGATAATACTTTTTGATTTTTTAATTTAAGCTGATAGTATTGTAAATCGATGTAATGTTTCAATTGTATTTTTGGCAAACATCGATATTCACATGGATTTTAAATAACCCAATATATTTCAAACAGTATGGAAAATTTGAATCGCGCATTTGAATATTTACTTTTAACGGCAATGATTAGATCAATTTTTTAGCAGATATTGCTATTCATTTCTCCATAGTTTTTAAATCCGATATTTTTTATACAATATTATTTATTTACAATAATCTAATCTCAAAACGAAACATGAATTTGAGAAGTACGATTCATATGATTTCGCCGTCAGTATTTTTTTCGGCAGTTGCTATTACGGATTTCATGATTTTAAAATATTTTTTATTGTGCTGACTATCTACAAAATGCAAAGAAGGAAATAACTTGTGCATACCCTCCCCCAAGAAAATGCCAGAATATCATCCATAATATTAGAATAAAAAATTATTACATGTTCAATTAAAAAAAGTGACACAGCGCTTTTTTTGTAAACACAGCACTTTTGTTATTTTAAAATAGTAACATATATGTTTGTTATTATTAAAAGTATCTTGCAGAAAAATATTAGCACTACAGAGTTTTGTAGCAGATAGCTCGGAAAAATTCTGCCACAGGGCTACTTAGCTAAATTTTAAGAAAATATTTTCTTTTCTAGCAGGAATTTCTCCATTGAATAACAAGAGAAAACACCTGTTTTCTGAACAAGAAAGTAGCCTGTATCCTCCCAAAAGAAATTTTTCAATGAAAAATTTGAAATATTTAAGCACAGAACTAAAGACTTAATACCTATGTAAATCAAGTACATTACAAAGGAGAAAATAACCATACATATTCATGAAGAATACAGCTGAAATTTTATCAATAAAGAATAACATGACTGATTATTTCATAGCAATCAGGATCAATTTTACATTAGATAATCTATCTTTTAAGTTTATATAGGTTTATCATTACAATCATCTACTTTCAAGAATAAACCATGAAAATTATACTATTTTTTTATAATCATACATTAAAATTTAATATTATACTATTGAATAATAAGTGGGACATTGATTTTTTTTAGCAATGGAATTTTAATGAAAGTTGCTCAGTTAATCATGGTCACAAAATATTTGACAAATTTTACCAGAGCAATAACTAATAAAAAGGAAACCTTACGTATTACGAAAGCTAAATAATTATAAAATATAAAGCTAAGTAAATCAAACACTAGTAGGGAGCAGAGAAGAGGGACGGTGACAATCTTAAATGTGACAATCTATTTACATTACTCCTTAAAATATATATAAGGGAGAGGAGGTGTATAGTATACACATGGTTAGAGTGGACATCTTGAATACATTTCTTATTAATTGGACGAATTTCCTGTGAGCTATTATACATAAACAAACATGATGTACATTTTCATGTGCAGACTCACACTATGAATACTTAAGTAAAAATTTGTAAAAAATGGTTTCTACGTTGAAATAAGTAACTTTCGAATTTACGATTCACTCTTTTATTGACATATTTTATTTTCAGAATAACAACAGAAGGTGATAATATATTAGAAATGATGTTTTTACCAATTTAATAATTAATTTCTATACACATATTCCATTTAGTTTCCACAATTTCGGTTTCAACTAGGTTCCTTAACACCTCACATGGATTGAACTAGAACTTTTGCAGAGTTGTTTAATTTTTTTAAGCCCTCATAGTCAAACCACTTGATTTTCTCCATGTCAGGGGGACTAAAGGGACTCCCCACCCAAAAAAAAAAATTTCAAGATCAAAAAATTATACAGTTGAACCTCGCTAACTCGAACCTCGATTTCACGAATTTTTCGATATCTCGAACAAGAAAAAAATTCCCTTCAAATTTCCTATACACTCAATATTAAAAAAAAAACCTGATTTCACAATTTTTTTTTTCTAATCCCTCGATAACTTGAATTTTTTTTCCATAAATAGAGTAGATTTTTTTTTAAAAAATATTCCAAAGAAAAAAAAACTTAAGAATGACTGACAAGGCATGGAATGATGTGTCTTCCTCTACGATAATGAATGGCTTCAAGAAGTCTGGATTCATTAAAGATCACGAAATTAGTCAAACAATCAATATCGTTAATTCTGCTGAAAACTACACCGAAAATGATTGGAACAGATTGACCAGACTCATGAAACTTGATGACAGGAAATTTCATGACTTTGTAAAGGTAGACGATGCAGTAACAGCGTGTGGTCAGTGGGATGACAATGATATCATTGTTCAAACGAAAGCTTCTTGTGAACTATCAGAAGAAGATATGAGGAAATCGAAGATTTACCACACAATGTTACTAACAAACAAGCACTTTCTGCAGTGGACACTGTAAGGAGATTTATTGAGAGGCAGCCGTATACATCAGAGGAGACATATAAAGCTATAGTCCACTTAGAAAGTGTTATAGACAAACTTTCTTACATATCTTTAAAGCAAACAACAATTGAATATTTTTTTAAATGAAAGTGTAAAAAGTGCTTTTAGAATAAATATGGAATAGTAAATAAGGTACGTAAAGAGCATTTTTCTTTATTCTATCATCGATAACATGCGATTTTCGATAATTCCAATTTTCGATATCTCGAATTTTTTCTCCTCTCCCTTCAAGTTCGAAATATCCAGGTTTGACTGTATTAGCAAATATATATATACAGAATTACTCTATTAAAATATTTCAAACACCCCCCCCCCCCAAGTATTGTCACCCAGCATACTCATTATATCTTGCTAGAATTTGAAATTTCAGCCTTGAGCTTAGCAATAACCAGGAAGTGATCAGAATCTTAAGTTGCACCTCAATAGGTTCTAACAAAAGAAAGTAAACGGAACTACATATGCTGATAAATTTCACCAAAATGGATCCAGGAATTCACTTGTTTTCAACGTTGGGCTTACAATTACAAGGCTACAAAAATACTATTGATAGTTGAAAATTTGATTCGGATAGGTTGTTCATAGTCTAAAATATAATTTTAAAAAAATGCGAAATTATATATACTCACACATGCTTAATAAGTCTATTTTGAACAATGTCTGATGAGTTTCTATTATTGCCAACTTCACTAAAGATCTGACGATGGGATGGTGCACAAGAGTACAAACCAGAAAACAAATATTTAGAAGTCGCGGATTTTAACGACGACAAACCCTGTAATTTACTGATGGTACAAACAGACATTTTCTATATACCAAGAGAATAAAAACTGGAGAAAAAAAAAAACAATAATGAACTGTGATAACCGAAAAATATTTTCTAACTACAAATAAATCACATGCCGGATTAATGTTTTCAAAATCAAATTTAGCCGATCGTTTCTTAGAGAAAAAAACAAAATCCTCTCGATTCTACAGCTTGATTTAAAACAAAAACAAATAAAAACTTTTTCAAACTAAAATTCTTTAATTAGATGTTACCATATTTACTGAATGAAATACTTATTGCCCGCACTAGTTTTTGTTTTCATATTCACTTTCAAAAAGTTGTCAAATTCTTATGACGAAGGCAAGATTTTTGTTGCCATATTTTTACACAAATAATTATGAATATTAAATTAAAGGTTCGTCAGAGTAGGCAAGGGACTTTAAAAACTGATATTTTTATTAATAATTAAATAATTTTATACTATTATTATTGAAAAATTTACTGTTAATGTCTATAAATACCGATATCCTAAGTAGCCGTTTTTATATAGTTGCTTTGTAACCGTAACTTAATAAAATGTCTGTTTTGTTTTGATTTCACACAGTTTTGTTTTAAATGTCTGCAGTGAAATTCAATTCCTATTAATCCAGGTAGACACTATTTAAACATTTCTTAATGTAATCGTGTTGAAAAAAATTATTTTTTTTATCCTTTGAATATTCTTTATAATCCGCGAGATATTAATTATAAAATTAATTCCTTCCTTGTTACTCAACTTACAGTTTTTTGTCTGTCATCGTTTAGTTATTGTTTATTATCAGCAGTGTAAAAACATTTATATTTTTTTAAAAATATAAATTTTTGTCTCTATTTATGATTACAGGAACCGCGGGACCGGGAGGGCTTGGGAGGTCTATCGTTTTTGGAGAATAAGACGCAACCCCTTCTAAGATTATAATTTTTCCCTTAATGTTTGTGTAATTGAAAATAGATATTTTTTTGGGTCTGAATTTTTAAAAAATATTCTTTTTCAAGCGAGATTTAGCATTTCCATGGCGAAAACTTTACTAAATGATCCCTTTCTCAACCCCCGCAGAGGAAATATACATTCCTTTTGCGGACTCAATGGGAAAATTCTTGGTTTGGATTCAAATTTCCCAGCGAAAAGAATAAAAATAAATAAAATAACAATGAAACAGAATAAATACCTTTAAATTAGAGATAAATAATTTTCGGATAAAACAATTACTCTTATTAAATTTGTTTTAATTTTAAAACAAATCGATTCATGAAGTTGAAATTGCAGGTTTGAATTCTAGATTGTGTGAGGTTTAGATAATTCGGACCCTGTTAACACTAATATTTATATATGTAAATACACAAGGCGAGAGAAATTCACACAATACACATCCATGGTCACTGTATGATTAACATATTTAGAGGTGTTTTTCCATAAAAAAAAAGAGAGCTTTTATTGTTTTTAGTATTGAGTCTAACATCGTAAAATTTTAAAATTTTAATTTTAAGAAATTCTCAATTTAAAGTTTTAAACTATCACAAAAATATTAATTATGGGAATCAAATTTTATACCCTTTAGTAAACATGCCTAAACATGTTTTTCAACCTATACATTTCATTACTGTGGCTACTGCTTGCAGTTAAACTGTTACGTCATTATTGTTTGAAAAGGGGTACAAAAAAATTTCAAGACTTATCCAAGAACTAATTTTTTTTTTTTCTTCAGAAATTTGTCCAAAATTGTTACATAGTTTCCACTTACGACAACTATTAAGAATATATGCTTACAATAATGAATTATTTTTCAATTATGATATAGAAACATACATTTACATAGTGAAACAGATTTATTAACATTATATGAAAACATACATCCTGATCTATATTATCACATTATTTGCAATCATTAAGTAAATCTTTGAATTAAAAGCTCTATTTTGTTAAAAAAATTCTTTAATGATCTTATTAGTTATATTTCCATGTATGTGTAGATGTTTCAAAAAATGGTGTGATTTTTTTGTGTGATTCATTTTTATAAGAAATAATTTTAGAAAAAAAAAATTTCAACAACAAAAAAAATTAGGTAAATTTCTAATTCTTGATATTTTTTGTTAGGATTCATTTGCTTCATTCCTAGTAAATAGCACTAATTTTGGATATTTTAAGTGTCATTCAAAAACCAAAGTCATAAGAATAGCCGGATTTTTCTCCTGTCATTGCTACTAACTTTATTGTTTTTATCTATACTTTTGCCTTCCTGTATCACAATTTAAATTTGAAAATAATTCTGTCGCATTAAAATTGTTCGAATATAATCTGTATGAATTTTATTGATGCACTTGCAATTCTCAAAAATAAGTACAATTCTTAAAATTCTGTCACCAATATTTGATTTCAAATATTGAGACTAAAACCTTGAAATGCTTACAGGATTATTTTTTAGTTTTAATAGCAATATACATGTTAACTATTAGTATATTTTTGTTTACTGTTAATATGGTAAGATAAATTGCATTCCTATAGCTTGTTGGTTTTTACTAATTGAAAGAGACTTAAAAAGCTGATTGAGAGATTTTTTTTCTTTTGTTATACTTCTTCGAAAATCTACTAAGTTAGGTTTGAAACCAAGCATCTTTCTTACCCTATTCATTAAAAATAAGTTTTAATGAATAGAATTTTTTTAACTTAGTCACATAACATATGGCAATTTTTTCACTAATCCAATAAAATATATATATAGCGTTAAAAATTTAAAATGCAAGTTTTGTTTTGTTTGTGTCCAATATTCAAAGTGACTTTCTATAAGATCAAATCAGGTCTTATATATTTCTGGAAATCGAAAATTTAATAATACATACTCGTTCTATAGGTTAATTTTTCATTTAAATGTCACTCTAAACTTGTGGTGTTTTTTGCTAAAAATTGTTTGATTTTGTATTATATCACTTTTTTATTGATGCATTAAATGTGTAATAATATCTTTTGACTATTCTTTAAAAAAAAACCTTATTGATAATTAGGTACCATGGCTTCTGCATACTTACCCATTGAAACAGTGCTAAAGGTTGATGATAATGAATTTTTATTGGAAGATAGTGAGAAACCTAAACACCCAACTCTGATATCATTTAATTGTGTCTCGATTGGTACCCAGTGTGATTGGAAATTTGAGCAACCTGATAACAAAAATTGTACATTGTAAGTATGAAAGGTTTTAAAGACAAGTATAATGATTTAAATGTAAGAACTTTTTCAAATTTTTCGGAATTTAAAAATAATAAAAATCTTCATTTTTAAGCACTAATATAGTGATTTAATTGTAAGAATATAAATAATGATTAATTGCTTAGGAATCATTAAAATCTTATTACCTTATTTGCTGTAAAAATTAATAACATAAAACTAAACAGTCAGGCAATGTATTTAATTTATTCTTCAAATGTCAACTTATAAAACACTTAAGGGTTTTATATATTTTGTCACAAACTTTTATCCTCTTTTAAAACTCAAATTCAATATTTATAGAAATCTAAAATAAAATGTTTTTTTTTTACCTTTTTCATTAAATTTTTTTTAAAAATAATATGCCTTTTATTTTATTCCCAATTTCATTTTTCCTGTAGTGTTAGATTTATTTTGTTACAAGGTCTTGTTTGTCTTTGTTCTTCAAGACAAATAAAGCTCTTGAATCTGTGTTTTGTACATAAGTAAATTTTCCTCAAATCCATTTTCTTTTCTTCCTTTATTGTTGTTTTGTTTTTCTTTTCTTCCTATGTTGATTTTCACTTCGAATTATGCAAAAAGACACAGTTCACATTCAAAGTTTCCATAATTAATTCTACACCAATCTATTTCGGCGTATAGTCATTCCGTAGTGTATGAAAACCCCATTCGTTTTACATGATTCAAAAATTTATGATTTTTGACAATTGTCAAAAACAATGCCAAATGGATTTTTTTTTTTTACTTGATGATTAAAACAAGAAAAAACCTTCGATTGTCAAATACTTTCCAAACCTGCCTAATTATGTTATTTTTTTAAAGTGCTTAAAAATATTTTTTCAGTGCTTGAAAAGTGCTTATTTTTTGTTGAATAATTTGGCTACGCACCCTGATACAAAATGCTTATAAAGGAATGATGATATAATTAAAAGTATTTAAATTAATTTTATATATTTTAGTTGTATTTTTGATTTTTTTTTCTTGTTTAAAATTAAATCCGTAATGATCACAAAAAGTTTAAAATTGATAGATTTTTTTTATTGACATGTGTTTGACATTAATTTAGAATTATGTATAAAACTAAATTATAGTGATCAATAGAGCAATTGATTGTTAAAAAATTATATTTATTAAGTATTCATGAGGAATATAATGTTAAGCTTTAAATTTTTTTGTTCATTTTTAAATCAAAATATCTATTATGATTTAGTAGTGTAAATACACCTTGTAAAATGAACAGTATGAAGCAACTGCAAGTTTTGTCAATGTAATTTAATTTGTAAGTAATTTAAGTATTATATTAAATAATTATAAATGTGTTTTGACAATTTAATTTAAATGTGCTAAAGTTTAAAAAGTCCTCAATATTTCTTTGGAGTACAAACTCTGTTTTGTAACTGTACATGCCATTTATTTTTATATTCATGCAAAACTTGAGTTATACATGAGTGTGTAAATGATTATTGTAACAAATTGCTGTACAAATGCTACAAATTTATCCATTGCTTGACAGTTTCAAGCCTTGGTGATATTGCAAAAAACTAAAGTACTACATTTTTTTAGTATTGAATGCTTTGTTTATTTTATCCTAATAAAAATTTTATACATTTCAATTTTCAATTGAGCCGTGAAAATTCTCTTCTGATACATTGATATGCAAATTTTGAAAGTATCCAACATTATTTGTAAACAAATAATTTACAAGTCAATTATTTGCTATTTGGAGCATGATCATTATAGAATAATAAACTATTAAATGTTTTGCTATTAAATGTTTCAATTTTTTAATTAGTATGCTGATACTAAAAATTTTTAACTATCATACTTGTATTAAAAACTTATGAACCTCATTCAGAATTTTAAAAGACATTTGTAAAAATATTATGAAGAATTGAAAGAAGTTTTAATTTTTATCTATGCCTTTCATGCTTTAAAAATAAAATAAAACAATCAGTTTTTCATTTTAAATTCAAATTTATGACATTTTAAATTTAGTTGAAAATTTTAACTGTCAAGTGTGTGCTCTGATATTATTAAGTTATTTGTTAACTTAATAATTAGATCAAGACAAATCATACTTTGATTAATTCAAATTTTCTTACAAAATATAATGTAACTTTATAAGATCTGATGGCATTTTATTTTATTTTGCAAGAGGAAAAACGTAAATTCAATAATTTTTTTAAATATTATCGTCTCATTGTTTTTATTTTAAATTTATGTAGGTTGTCTGAAACTGAAAGACCTGAAACAGAATTAGCTGTTATGAGTTCAGACTCTCTTATAATCCCTGATAAAAATACTTGTGATTCTTCAATGGTTATTAGAAGCTGGTCCGAACATAGTGATTCAAGTATCTTATCAGATCAAAAAATATTTATACCTGCTACATTTTCCCAACAATTTGCATCACATATTCATTCTGATGATGAAAAATCATTGCTTCAGTGAGTATTATAAAAACTTGTATCATTGATAAAAAATTTTGTAATTTTTAATTTTAATCAAAACTTACTCTTTTATAACACTATAAAGAGTTCTTACAAGAACCTGTCAAAAATCTCTTTTATTACCAACTGAAAAGTATATTAGAAGCAGACGCAAATATTGAGGCTAGCTCATCAAAGGGTTTCATTTTAAAGCTTGCTGTAAGTTTTGCAAATTGGGATATTATGACACGATAGCATTTTATAGGCAAATGGAATGTTGAACTATCATTACGACTTTTCAATGACTATTTATACTTTTTCAAGGACATGTGACAGATCTGTTTTGATATGGGTATAGGTTTTTATTTTAAATTTATGTAGGTTGTCTGAAACTGAAAGACCTGAAACAGAATTAGCTGTTATGAGTTCAGACTCTCTTATAATCCCTGATAAAAATACTTGTGATTCTTCAATGGTTATTAGAAGCTGGTCTGAACATAGTGATTCAAGTATCTTATCAGATCAAAAAATATTTATACCTGCTACATTTTCCCAACAATTTGCATCACATATTCATTCTGATGATGAAAAATCATTGCTTCAGTGAGTATTATAAAAACTTGTATCATTGATAAAAAATTTTGTAATTTTTAATTTTAATCAAAACTTACTCTTTTATAACACTATAAAGAGTTCTTGCAAGAACCTGTCAAAAATCTCTTTTATTACCAACTGAAAAGTATATTAGAAGCAGACACAAATATTGAGGCTAGCTCATCAAAGGGTTTCATTTTAAAACTTGCTGTAAGTTTTGCAATTGGGATATTATGACACGATAGCATTTTATAGGCAAATGGAATGTTGAACTATCATTACGACTTTTCAATGACTATTTATACTTTTTCAAGGACATGTGACAGATCTGTTTTGATATGGATATACAAACTATGAGAGAATCTATAAAAATGTATTCACCAAAGTGGCGATTATTAAGAGAAATAGATAAATTGGCCTTGTATGATGTATTTTGTGTTGAAATGATGTAAATATTATAGATAATAAATGGATATTTGTATTTCTCTTTGAAATATTGTTGAGTAGAAGTTTGAATACTTCATTACATCTCAAAATAACTTTGTACCATCCTACAGTGGCAGTAATGGTACTTGAACTTTACCAACTTTAGAGAACACCTAAAACATTTTTTAAAAAATTACTTAATGTTCCCACAAAGTATTTTTTAAAGAAAATATTTAGATAAACAATTAATTTTTTTTTTACTTTGTCAAAATTTATAACATAAAGCAAAATAAGAATTAAAGTTTTATTCATAAAAATCACAGAAATTTATTCACTAATTTTAATTAGCAAAATGACTTTGTGTTTTAATTGTCCATTAAATGCAGGAAATACAGAAAATTTGCTATATAAAAACTCATTTTAAGTACAAATGTTTTAGGAACAATTAATCATTTTTAATTTATGATTTTTATTGCCCTTTTGCAAATTATTAATTTGACACAATTTGAATGTAGAGAACTGATAAACAATGGAGGTATTACAATAATAATACTCCTTTTAGACTTTTAAACATCAGAGGATTATCTAAGCCAATGGGGTAACTAAGGCAATTTTACTTTATGTATTGATTATCTCTGAGTTTGATTGTCATCAGTGGAAGTTTTAGACCTCATATTTTAATATTGTTTTTGTTTTAAAATTAAGGTTATAAACCTTTATTTCAGCAAATACTTTCATAAATTTGTATGTTTCTTATTTCTAAGTTGAACTCCTTATAAACATATTTAAATAGATTTTAAAACAATACTTTGATGTTTGGTTTACTTCATTTATTATATTTCCATTTTAATTTTTTTTAAATTCATTGTTGTTCCAATTTTCATAGTTGCCGACTTTTTCATTTTTTTAAAGACTTATCATAGTGAAAAGCAAAGTAAAAGCATCAAAGTTATTAGTAGTTTTTAAAAATTTTATTAGGCTTTTACGCATACAGTGTAACGTCCCATATCCGGACGTCCCTTTCCCGGAAGGATCGATTTCCCGGACACTTTTTAACAATCAAAATAAACAAACATCTCTTGATCTTCCCCTCCCAAAAAAAAAAAAAAAAAAAAAAAAAAAAAAAAAAAAAA